AGAGATATTAAGGAAAAATGATTGTGGCTTCCTGTTATTTTTGTTATTAGAGGTAAAGTTATGTTTGTATAGTTATCTTCTTTTGGGGTTGTTGGAAGATTACTTCCTTGCTTTTTCTAGGTTGTAGTTTCCCTCCTTGTGTTGGCGTTTTCCATCCATTATCCTTTGAAGTGCTGGGTTTGTGGGAAGATATTGTGCAAATTTGGTTTTGTCATGGAATATCTTGGTTTCACCATCTATATTGATTGAGAGTTTTGCTGGGTATAGTAATCTGGGCTGGCAATTGTGTTCTCTTAGGGTCTGTATGATGTCCGTCCAGGCTCTTCTGGCTTTTATAGTCTCTGGTGAGAAGTCTGGTGTAATTCTTATAGGTCTGCCTTTATATGTTACTTGACCTTTTTCCCTTACTGCTTTTAGTATTTTTTTCTTTGTTTTGTGCATTTGATGTTTTGATTATTATGTGACGGGAGGTATTTCTTTTCTGGTCTAGTCTATTTGGTGTTCTGTAGGCTTCTTGTATGTTTATGGGCATCTTGTTCTTTAGGTTAGGGAAATTTTCCTCAATGATTTTGTTGAAGATATTTACTGGCCCTTTAAGTTGGGAATCTTCATTCTCATCTATACCTATTATCCTTAGGTTTGGTCTTCTCATTGTGTCCTGAATTTCCTGGATGTTTTGAGTTAGGAGTTTTTTGCTTTTTTCATTTTCTTTGACAACTGTGTCAATATTTTCCACCGTATCTTCTGCATTTGAGATTCTCTCTTCTATCTCTTGTATTCGGTTGGTGATGCTTGCGTCTGTGACTCCTGATCTCTTTCTTAGGTTTTCTATCTCCATGGTTGTCTCCCTTTGAACTTTCTTTATTGTTTCTATTTCCAGTTTCAGATCCTGAATGTTTTTGTTTAATTCCTTCTTTGTGTTTTCTTGCATTTCTTTAAGGGATTTCTGTGATTCCTCTTTAAGGGCTTCTATCTGTTTACTTGTACTCTCCTGTATTTCTTTAAGGGAGTTACTTAATTCCTTCTTATAATCCTCTATCATCATCATGAGAAGTGATTTTAATTCTGAATCCTGCTTTTCAGGTGTGAAGGGGTGTTCAGGGCTTGCTATATTGGGAGAACTGGGCACTGATGATGCCAAGAAACTTTGGTTTCTGTTGCTTATGTTCTTGCGCTTGCCTTTCGCCATCTGGGTAACTCTGGTGGTACCTGCCCTCTCTGTGTAAGATTGGAATCTGTATTTCCAGTTATCTTGCTTATTGCAGAGCTCCTCGGAGTCCAGAGGTCTCTGTGGTCTTATGCCCCTAATCTCCCGGGTGGAAGAACTCCTGGGACTCAGGCCACCTCTTGGATCTGGTAATCCTTCTGTTCTGAGTGCAGTGGCTCCTCGGCTGCTTTGAGTGCAGTGGGTTCTCGATGACTCAGGATTCAGTTTCAGCTGCTCTGAGTGCAGTGGCTCCTAGATGACTCAGGATTCAGTTTCTCCACAGGACAGGAGCAGACCAACTCAGTGTCAGCTGCTCTGAGTGCAGTGGCTCCAGCTGCTCTGAGTGCAGTGGGTCCCTGATGACTCAGAATTCAGTTTCAGCTGCTCTGAGTGTAGTGACTTCTCGATGACTCAGGGTTCAGTTTCTCCACAGGACAGGAGCAGACCTACTCTGTGTCTGCTCCAGTCCCAGGGACCAGGCAGGGGCCGAAGGGAAGTGGAATTCCGGAGGGGCAGGGTTTGGGTAGCTGCTGTGCCCTAGATGTCCCTGGCTCCCAGATGTATTTCTGGGGCCTAGGGAGTGAGATGGAGTTCTTACCAGCTGCTCTGAGTGCAGTGGCTCCTGGATGACTCAGGATTCAGTTTCTCCACAGGACAGGAGCAGACCAACTCTGTGTCTGCTCCAGTCCCAGGGACCAGGCAGGGGCCGAAGGGAAGTGGAATTC